AGCATGGAAAGTTGGGAGGATGTTGATGTTAATACACCAATCGATGATGGAACGATCTCGGGTCGTACTCACAGTCGTAAAGATCGTGATCTCAGAGCCTCATTGCATGTTGAGCGTGGACTCAATTTCAATAGAAAAGGGAAGGAAGTGCAGAAATTCCAACTTCCTTCTCAGCCTGTTATCTACGAGCCACCCGATATGCAACGAAAGACGGTCGAGCGAGAATTTGGTATCAGTCCAAAGGCCCTTTTCCACCTTATGTTTGGCGACAAAAGTGCAGTGTTTCAACTACTTTACCATGAACGGAGAGCACAAAAGATTGCCCAAGGTCCATGGATTCATCTTGATGGTAACCACATGCGTCGAGATTTCGAATTTCAAATCGACTATGTTGATTCCTGGCGAAGATCACGACAAGCAAACGTTGTTGATCATCAAATTATTGATATCATGAACGACCATGTATGTTATGTTGTTACGGATTCCAAGACCCCGTGGCATCTACCTCATTTTCAAGATTTTATGCTGGTCTCAAAGATCGTTATTACACATGTCGCCAAATCAAAGTGCAAATTGGCAATCTATACGAAGGTTGAATGGTCAAAATCTCCCAAAATCGGAAAAGGTTTAGTTGAAAGACAGGCTCTTGATGATTGTGCAATGGATGCTGAAGATTTGGCCGATGTTATTGCTGATCAAGTTCGAAAGTTGGGACCCAACAGCAGGACAAAGAAGGCTATTCACATTTACGGGCATGTAGGACACCAAAAAACAGTCTCACTTTTTTCGGCCAACGACGCAAGCAAGTCAAAACGACCACAAATTAAGCAACGTACACTCACAAATATGTTGCTCGAGACACTCAGCTCGTTTGGTGAGAGTTGTATATCATCGGTGATGATGTGGACGTTCGCGGTATTCCGATCCATATGGAAAATATCCAGTGCCCACACTATCATTTTAACTGCACTGATAATGAGCATTTTGGTAAACGCATTCCTTACTGGCCGCAATACATCAGAATGGTGGACAGAACGAAATGCAGCAAAATTCATGAGTCGAATGGGAGTTGGTCCTAATCCAAGTATGAGCAAAGCAATTTATTTGAAAGATCTTGACGAAGCTGTGAATAACCTATCGACGGGAGTCCAGAGTCACCATGAAAGCAAATGGTAGATATCCACTATCTCCCAAACCTTTGAAAATATGCTAATATGATTCAACAGCTACTCGCAATTTATGGAAATTGCCAACGTTACGGATCTGAATGCTCCTTATGAGATGGCAGGGTCACCATTCACCAAAACATCAACAAAATCAACAGCTAAGAGGCTTCGAAGAACCCGTCAGCATCTGGGCTCGTACAGATACGATCTAATGATCGCTATGAGAGTGGTCAACAATATCGAGAGAAATGTGCTCAAAGCAGAATGGGAGAATTGGCTCCTGGATGAGAACATGAGATGCAAACAAGCTTACATGATGTTGCGAGAGAACCAGACAAATAGTCTATCAAGTAGTAAAGCCAAGGGAGGTTCAAGTCAGCAAGTTCTACAGGTGAATGACAATATGAATGAACTCAGAAAGTGGCATCAGGAGTATTGTGGTAGCTGTAAGGCAGAACAGGACTTGCTCACGCAAGGAGAGGAGGGTGTAACATTCGGTTGAGAGCAGCAAATATGTATCTACACTGCGATATCTTTGGCATCATTATTTACCTAATTAGTCCCATCGGCAGCATATCTATTGAGCAAGGCGTTTGGTACAAGAACATTGGGTTTTGGCGGATGGATAGAGTCCAATTTTTTGCATAGCCAAGGATGGATTTTATGGTATGGTAAAAGTAGTCACTCTCACTCACTATTTTTACTTTGTACATAAATGAACAATACATAACAAATAATCCTCCAAGACTTTCATATCATATTTACTCCAAGCAAGATTCTCGTTCACAAACATCGGATGCAATCAATCATTTGACCACTTTTCTTTCCGGAGTGGTGGAGGTTTTCCCCCTTTTAATGTAAAATTCCATGTTAATTTCCATTTCGGAACTCCCATCCAAATTTCCAAACTCGTCGACACTTGAATTTCCGCGCACTAACGTATTCACGTATTCACGTATTCATGGATTTTTATCTATTTCATTGTCTGTGCTTGAAATATGACGTCAAGCGTTCTACATGAGATAGAAATCTACGAGTAGTTTCTACTCAAATAATGAAGAGCTAGACCAATCATATTGTAATTTGTAAATGATTTGTATTTAACCCCGCACCACCTCAATACTTTACGATATATCGTACGAGTAGATGAATAAATATTATATGGAGTACTACTTATTATACTTATTAGATAGGTAGTTTTTATTGATACTCTGCTTTATTTCATGATGTATTGATGCGATGTATTGATGCGATGTATTGATGCTGGCGTATTAATTTTATACATACTAGGTCATTGAATGCTAACTTGAAAGGGGGCAATAGTAAATCCATCCGGAATCCAGATGCCTCCAGAATTTTATGAAATACCTACTTACATATACCTACTCCCCCATCCCTGGTAATCTTCCATCCTTTGTTAATACCATTTACTTAATCTATTCAAATCTCAAAATCCCATGTGCCTGATGCATCTTGCTTATCACTGTGTCGCTACTTATTGAACTTGATCGCATACATAATATATTCCAACCCTCCACGACTCTCGAGACTCATTCCACATATTGTCTAGAATTCTTCAGCAGCATTCTCAGCTTTCCTGTCTACATCTCGATACATCCACAGCTTTGTGTCGGATGCAGAGGTTACACGTTTCATTCTTGATTGAAGAAACAAAGAATCCAAACAGCAAACGAAATGTCAGCTCTTCATGAAGCTCTCAAATCGCTGGGCGCTGTGAAGTACGACGATACCCCTACCGATAATTTAAAACCATTTCTATCAGATGCATTCAACAGCGCTCAATTGATAATCGATTCAGTCCCCATCCCCGACAGTATTGAATCTTCCAACAGTCGTCCGCGATCGAACACAACATCCTCAATTGCATCCTCAGCATCCGAAATCTCCGCATCCCATGCTAGATCTCCGCCCCTACCTCACGATATCGAATCTCTTCAGAAGGAGTGGAAACAAATAAAACTAAAACCGGCTGATAATCCACTGGGTATAAGTGTATATTCTTGCAAGGGAAAGGATGGAAAGGGCACTTGGTTTGCGAGGAGGAGTGTACATGAGGGACTAGGATTTACAAAATGGAAAAGAGGTTTAGAGAGGGAATTTCCAGAAACCCTAAAGGTTCAGGGAGGTCCAGGTGAAGGCAATATTAGAGGTATTGGTGGAGAGAAGAGGGTAGCGTATAACAATGTTGCTGGGACTGGGAAAATGGAAGGTATGTTTATAATAAATTGGGATGAGAGACAACGGTCTAATGAATACCAGTATATCTTTTATCCGCACAATTTCCAGGACCAACCACCCCGAGAGATTTTGTCACCATGTTCATTTCCTCAGATCAAGCGCTTAAAGAACAAAATAACAACGAAATACCCCGCCATTTCATGGTAATATCGAGACCATGTCAACATCCAGATACTCCATCGCGTGATGGATATATAAGAGGATATTATGAATCTGTTGAATTTATTCGAGAAATACCGATTAACAAACCGCCTCCCAAGAAATCAGCATCTTCATCTGATCTTACAAAGGGACATACAAGAGATCGATCCGCTTCAAATTTAGGCAAGGAGGCCGTTTTAAGGAATGCTCATCAAAAGTATGATTCATCCAGTACAGAGGAAGAAAGAGAGGAAATTCATAAACAAGCTTCACGTTCTGATAGTAATCTGGCTCAAGCTATAAAGGAGGAGAAGTCGTCTGTACCGAGTGAGGATGATGAATGGGAACAAAATCCTATTGAGTGGATTATGGTTACCAGAAGTGATCCTGGTGGGGGTATACCACGATTTATGATTGATCGTGGAACACCATCGGCTATTGTTTCGGACGCAGGTAAATTCTTGGACTGGGCATGTTCGAAAACAATCGAGGATTTGGATAGTGATGATGATGAACCTGCTGAAGAACTTGTTGGAGAAAATGACACAGCGAGGCCGGAAAAACGTGAACATCGGCATCGCCATCACCATAATCACGAAAAAGATCTACATAATTACCAAACCAACGGTCATCTTGCGGGTATAGATAGTCGCGGAGAAAAGTCTACACCTGTGGCTGCTGGTTCAGCAAGGTCTGCAGTGCCGACACAACAGCAGCCACCCGCAAATGGTGGTGGAATATACGACATGGTAGCAGGAGTAGCAACTACGGCCGGTGCTTTAATCGCTCCATATGCACCAGCAATGATTGCGGATCGTCTCCCTCATGCCACTGAATCTCCCTCAGCTCAAAACCCCGGTCCTCTACAACTTACTAGCGAACAATCTTCTGCTCAAACTTCCGCTCCCATTACTCGCTCTCGATCATTATCCACCTCATCTATTTCTAGTGAATCAACAGTCGATAGTTTTGAATCAGCTCTGTCCTTCCGAAAAGTATCATCACAAGATTCAGCTGCAGTCGAAAAGGTAAATTTACAACAGGATAAAGAGCTCCAGAAACTCGAGGATAAGAAACGAAAACTTTACGAAAAATTGGAGAAAGCGAAACAAAAAGAAGCGGATAAGAAAAGTGAAGATGGTGAGAAAGAGAAAGAAGCAATTCGTAAAGCGGAAGAGAAACATGAGAGAGAAGTCAAGAAGATAGAAGAGAAACACAAAAAGGAAATGGAGAAATTGGAGAGGAGAAGATTGAGGGAGGAACAGAAACAAGAAGAGAAAAAGAAGAAGAGAGAAGAAAAGGAAAAGGGAGAGGATTTTGCAACAGATTAATGCCAGTTTGAGGGCGGAGATTGAAGTATTGAAGAGGGAAAGAGAGGTTCTGAGAGATCAAGTGGGTAGTGTACAGAGGGAAAATACACTCTTAGTGGGAAGGATGGGGAGATTGGGAATACTCGGAGAGGAAGTTTTGAGGGAGGTGAGAGAAGAGTTGACGGGAAACTTGAAGGGAGCGGGGAGGAAGAGGGGAAGTAGTATGGGGAGTGCGAGTGGCAGTCAAAGGGGTGGTGTTGGTGCGAAGAGTGGGTTGGGTATGGGGAGTAAGATTGCGGGAGAGGGTGCTAGGGTTAGTGTGGACACTGAGAAGCCGGCTGTTATACCAGTGGTAGGGGATAGAAATGGAGAAGTTTAAGAGGAGAGAGGGTATGGGATGGATGGATGGATAAATCTGGAATAGCATTTCCAGGATGGATGAGCTGAGGGCGCCCGGTGCTCGGTGTTCGGTACTCGGTTCTACAATCTAGGAGATATGGTACACAGTACACAGTTACGGAATTTCAAACACACATATACTCATACCTAGCTACATATAATGATCATTCAGCATAGAAACTTGTCATATTTATAGAATCTCATCCTCATCAATCACATCCATTCAACATTAAAGATCATGCGAAAATCCATTGCCATGCTAAAGTTCACACCGCTTGCTCCGCTAAACACTCGACCTCCATTCCCGAGTCCCCCCAAACCCTCATAAGTAAACAGATCCACCCTCTCCCTATCCTTTCCCAAAGGAGAACAAAATTCACAAACCAATCTCAACCAACCTCTCATTGAGCCACTTAACATCTTCCTTTGAATCACCTGGTCCTCCGGCCCAATGTCCCCATATGCTAGGGAAAACATCGAGTTTGCCGATGCCGGGGCGCATGAGGGAGACTTCTATTTCAGAGTCTTCGGGTCTGGGGGTGTCAGTGTGGTTTGTTGGGGGTGGAGAAGGGGGGAGAGTAGATAGAGGGAGAGGGAGAGGGAGGAAATTAAAAGAAAGATAATATACATACGGGAAATACAGATCAGTCTTTCCGGGCAGAACAAGCATCTGGGCTTTGATAGCTCCCATTGCAGCGGCGAAATCGCCATTGTAGGGAGATTGGTTGGAGACGTCGCCCGAGGCCCAGGTGTGGAGCATGGTTAGGAGGTTTTCTGGATCTGTTTTTGGAGGGGAGTGTTAGATTGGAAGAGGAGGTGGGGTTTGACGAGTTGGGTGGGAATGGGGGGTAGTGAGAAGGAGGGATAAGAAAGAGAATCAATAGAAAGTACCTTTTGAAAGGGCCCACTTCTCCCAGAAATTTTGCATGAAATCTTCTAGATCTTTGAATCCCAGAACGGTCTTGAAGAGTTCCTTTCTGTTAAAAAGCCTAAAATAGGATTAGTGTGCTCTTACCGTCAAACCACACTGTAATTCCATCCACTATATTACCAATATCAACTCACCTGACTAAATCCCCATCCAGCATACCCCCTCCCAAACGCCTTCAATCCCACCTCCCTTTCCTCCTGACTCCAAACTCTCACTTCATCTCCTCCCTCTCCTTTCACAGCAACACCTTCCTTGGATCCCGCGCTTGAAAGACTCTTGGCAGCTAACAATGCAGATTTAACACCTTCCAAAAAGACCTGATTGTGAAGGGCTGTTTTTGCAGATCCGCAAAAGGGAATACAGATGTCCATGAATGAGGGATACATGGTGGCCCATTGATAAGTTTGACCTGCACCCATGGACCAACCGATCACAGCGCGTGCATGGGTGATTTGGAGATGGGAGGTCACGAGGGTATGTTGAGCGCGGACGTTGTCATAGAAGGTTACTTTTGGGAAAGGAGAGATGGAGGAATTGGATGGAGACTTCTATCGTGTCAGTATTGAGGATCGGAGGGAGTGGGTGAAGCAGAATGGAGAATGAGGAGGGGAAACTCACGGTCGATTCTCCGTTTCCGAAAAGGGCGGTGATGATTATGAAGTATTTTTGGGGATTCAATACCTGGTCTTCTCCGATGAGCCACTCGTTGTCCGCGATTGCTATTTACTTTCAGCATGAGAACACTTTTTACATCTTTCCTTTTAACATGACTCTAAACTCCAAAGATAATATCATGGAGAAATATAGGTGGATAGCGCCAGTTTCAATACTCACCTCCAGAAAACCAAGAAGGATAGATGATAGCAGGGGAACTTGGGTCTCCAAATGTCTTGAATGCAATATGAGCATCAGGAATTTCTTGGCCAGATTGAAGCTTCCAATCTCCAAGAGAGTATCTTTGGACACCGGGTGCTAATTTGAGAGAAGAGAGTTGAGAAGGTAGAGAATCCATTTTATCAAGCTTCTTGTGTTGTCTACTGTGTTTGCTTGGGTTTGGATGTTTTTAGTTGCCTTTAATGCTTTATCAGCTTCCAAGCAGCTCTCAGATATACTTGTGATAGCCGACGAGTAGATAAGTAGATATATCGACAGATACAAAGTCAAATCGAATTTGTCAGGAATAGGGCGGAGCTGACCAATTGACTATTGATTTCAAATGTTCGGCGTTTAACCTTACCGTCGTTCTCTGAATAGCTTCAAGAATAAATAAGTTGAAGATTATCTCATTCTCTTCATAATGGTCTTTATGTAACTAGATTACCCCATCTATCAATAGTAATAAGTAATCGACCGATTCTAGCCTTGCTAATACATTCCTTCCCTTCCCGATTCATAGCTTCCCGAGCTTCTTCTTCCTCCGTCCCTCCTCTTATCATTGCGGGGTCATCAACCTTATCAGCTAAATCTCCACAACTTCTCAAAGCGGAATGAAAGCCGCTGTGACGAAATATGGTGGCGGAACCACAGTCACAATTATTTGCATCGGTTTTACAAAACCCATACCGGGTATTCTCCAAGTTTGCGTTGCAGATATATATTTTGTGTTTCCCTCGTACTAGATCAACTACCCATCATCAATGTCAGTTAGGAGATTGCAAGTCAGGCAAGTATTCAAACTTCAATACGGTACGTACGCAGATTTTCATCCACTTTCGACAGCGTTCTCTGTAGTATCTCCCCGCTATTTAGTTCATTTACTAATTGTACCTCACATCAACAAGTCCCTCACTGCAATCAAACCCCAATCACTGCCTCTCAACCACAAAATCCATCTCCATCTCCAATCTCCATCCTTCAGCAACCATGTCCTCCACAACCCAACAACGTGCCGATGCCGAAAAGCTCATAAACCGCAACCCGCACCGCGATTTCAAAGCCGTCGAAGCATCTCGTTCACCATGGGACGCGTCCCGATCTTGGAATGTAACGCAAACCGTTTCTCCCTCCTGGAAACTCGGTTCCGGCGCCAACGACAACGGCGAATCTCTCAAGGTCCCACATATCGAAATCGATCCCTATGAAGAAGGTCGTCCCGCAGTCTACAACTACAAGTTGATGATTTCCTCCATCATTCCGCGTCCCATTGGATTCGTCAGTACTCGCAGCGCGGATGGGAAATCGACAAATCTAGCCCCGTTCAGCTACTTTAACATGATTAATCACGATCCCCCACTTTTCACATTGGGGTATACAGGAGGATTAGACAATGCGAAAGATTCGTTGAGGAATCTCAAAGAGACGGGTGAATGCACCATCAATATCATCTCTGAACATTTCATCGAAGCGGCAAACTCGACTTCGATTAATGCACCGTATGGCGAATCGGAATGGGCGTTTAGTGGACTTACACCCGCTCCTTGTACAACTGTCAAGACGAGTAGAGTACTAGAATCACATTTCAGTGTCGAAGGAAAACTAGAGAGTTTGAAGGAATTCGAGAGTAAAGCGACGCCAGGCAAGAAGACGGGAGTTTTGGCAATTATCGAGGGAACCAGATTTTGGGTCAGGGAAAATGCTATTAATGAAGAGAAGAATATTGTTGATCCCGCGGTCCTAAAACCAATTTCAAGATTGGGAGGGATTACTTATGGGAGGACCGTAGATGGAGCAGAAATTCCCAGACCGGATTATGATACTGCGGTTGGAAAAGATGAGGAGGCGAAGAAATTGGTAAAGCCTAAGCTTGAAGACCAATGATTCGCTTATACATGGATGTTGAGAGGGTGGGGCTATAAACTGTTGGTGGTTCATGAGAGAAGAATAGAATATCAAGCAAGAAATCATGTATTTATATATCAGACCGATTGTATATAGTAACCACGCTGCACAAGTTGCAAACGCATACTCTGTTGCAAAATCTTCACACCTATATACCTTGTCTTGAGACTCGCAAGAAATTTAAGCGACCCAACCGTCCTTTAATGAAATGTTCTCCCATAAAAAAGCATCCAACCAAGATACACAAGGGTACTACCGTCCCACCAGGCAAAAAATACATACTCGAAGCAAGCAACCAACCAACCATCCCACCCTCAAACGCCCAGCCTCATTCACTCCCTAGAATAACAGTCTAAGACCAAACGCACACTACAGGAAAACACTCATCCCCTTCTCGCTAACCACAAAATCACACCCAAAGTTAAGTTCCTCTTCATATTCCCGCAACTCCTTTAATATTTTCACCCTCGGATCCTCTTTATCATCCAACTTATCCTTGACATGAATAAGTATAATCTTGACACCCTTCAAGACACCCAGACCAAAGGCTCTCCGGTGTAAAGAGATATAATTAGCCGAAGTAGCGAGCGGCGGTTGAGATTTCTTATCTTTCTCCCTTGTCGGGATCGATTTCCTCAGCGTATCCAAACTACCCGTCGGAGAAGAATTGCTCAAAGCACGATCGCTCCCACGTCTCCGCAGATCCTCGCGACATTTTTCCGTTTCGGCGGCGAGAACCTTTAATTCTTCAACGACGTAGCGCGGTGTTAAATGTCCAAATAATAAATCGTCTGGTCTACTGTCGTCATACGAACACTCGATAAAAATACCCTTGAGTATTCCAGCGGCGATTTTGGGAGCGGCGTCTTGCCATACTTGTTTATTGCGTGGGAATAAAGAAAGTACATCGGGTTCCACGTCGCCCCAGATGAGAATTTCGTTATCAGATGCAATGTCGTGGATGAAACAGGCAGAACTGGTGTACGCGCGGGTAGCCTCAGGGGGGGGGAAATTGAGACCTTCTGATGAAGCTTGGGGTATGGTGATCGGGGAGTAGTGGCTGCGGTGGGAGTGGCTGCTGGATTTTTGGGTGGGAGTACGAGGACTGCTGCTTTCGTTGGTGTGGTTGCTTCCCGGTTGATCTGGAAATGAAGTAGTTCTCAGTATATTGTGGAAGTGGAAGGTAAAAAGAAATTGATGGAGACAAATACGTAGTTTAACAAAACTAACATACAATCTGCAGTTAAATATTCTCAAAAATTAAAATGGGGAATACATACAAGGAAAGTTCCCAATGCAAGGCCCATGACTAACAGCCCAAGACTTAACGGCCAGTCCATCTACAACTTCCATGTACCCTTTCGTAGGCCCATCTCCCAAAACCGACGAACCCCCCGAAATCAACCTCATGAAAGTTACTAATCCCACGCCACCATTCTCATCTGACAAATTCGGCCAAATAACATCATTAAAGATGTGATCTTTCAACGCCTCAATCGTACTTGCCAATCCCGCAATTTTTCTCGGTTTAGAACTGGGACTGGCGGTACTTATCACCCCACCCGAGATATGATCAAGATGCGGATGAGTGATGAGATGAGCCCCAACCAGATTGCGTGCAATGTGAGCAGCATTTGCCCCGGTATTTTTGAATGGAAGTTCTAGGCCTGCAAATGCCCCTTCTTTTAGCAAATATGGTCGTTCGGTTGTTGGGGGATTGTGGTTTTGGAGAAGTCGGTCGATGGCCGAGAGGTGGACTCCGGCATCTACAGCCAGAACGGACCCTTTGCTCCATCCTAATGATAATGATCGTACTAGTAATGCGGTACAATCATCTTCCAAAGGACCTCCGCTGGCTCCCTATCGATATTGATTATTAGCATTTTCTCTAACAAATGGTATGCTTCATATCGTAAAGACGCGCAAAACGGTTTGCAAGCACAGGTCTTGATAATAGCAGTAGATCCTCAAATCCAACAACGAGTGAGTGCGTCTCCTCACGGAAGATATCTTGAAAATAGCAGATGTTTAGCACGTGACTCCTTACCAAAGTACCCTCCAAATCGGTAAATGCCCAGACTTGGGTATCTATGTATACACCCGCATCTGAACAAAGCCATTCAACCGGCACCATTCATCCATCACGCAAAAATGTGATTCGAAATAAGCAACAACTGCATATGATGACAACCTCATGATCTCTTACCCCTTCATGCAGTCTCCCGCTTTGCATACTCAGAAAGAACGGATACAACCATTACATGAACGGTCAAAAGAAAGATAATCCTCGGAATACTACTTACCAAAACAATAACCTGCATAGACTTCCCGGCGCGACCTTCGTGTTCCATGCTTGCCTATTTTCTCGTACTCTGATTTGCTTCCCTCGATCACGATTTTTTTCCAACCAGTCAATCAATCTCCAAATGCAATAAAAATGTCGATGTTCGCGAATCTCGCCTCAAGAAATATATGTATTAAGACTTCCCTCGAAGATAAAAAATCGAAGAGAGATTAAAAGTCGCAGTAGATATATCAATACCTAGCTATACTGCTGCGCCCGTATCTAGTCCAGCAATATAAAAACAGTATCCGTATATATGTTGTGATCAAGAAAAGAAGCAGAACTTCTCGTCGGCCTTTTAACTTTTTTTCTTTCTCTCCCTCTTCCCTTACTTCTCCTATCCTCTTTGTCTTCTCTCGACCAGTGGGACCCGCACGAGATATGTCGCTGCATTCCAATTTCTTTGTACTTTGCTGTCTTTTGAGCACAAGTATGGCGGGGGGGTTTGCTACAGTTCCTTTGTTTGAGAGACGAGACTTGTTGAGGCTTTCCATAAACGGCCGCGCAACGGTAGTTTCCACGTGATGTTTAAGGTATATTACTTAGATATTCTGATCACTAATTCCGGACCCGTACGATATTTATTGCATTGCATTGTATTACACATGTTTGTAAGATGACAATGAAATTTCTAGTTGTATTCATCTAATTCATATTTGTAGGATTGAAATCTACAATCCATATCTCAATTCGGGAAACCCGAAACCGAGAGTCGGGCCTCGGGATCGCCGTCAATACACTACTGCAACTATTTGATGCATATATATTAGGCATGCAAGGTGGCATCACCGACTAGACTACAAGTAGAATCAAAGTAGAATCATGATTATTGCCTACAAGCTTGAGGCTTTCTCGGGCTGTTTCACTACCTAGGTATGCATTTGTTGGTAGTAAACATATTCACAACTCTTGTATCAACCATGCTGTGACGAGTCTAGTCCGTCTACACCAAACCTTGCCTGAGCAAATTTGTATCTGTAACTATCTCATCTCATCTCATTTCATTTACAAACATTCACAAGTGTAGGCGCATTGACAATAGTACTTTTATTTATATCTTGAACCAAGTGCTTTGCTCCATCAATGACCTCGCTCTTCCAAATCTTATCAACCCATGCAATATAGTCCCGGTCTAGGATATTATCGCTCAAAAATCACCCGTA